TGGCTCATGTGTCCCACATTTTAAAGTCATCTTACACCCTCTGAGATGTGGACAAATCTCCTCTAGCCTCTTGATAATTATGATATTTTATCCCCAGATATGTACATGTGACTGTGCAATGTGATCCTGCTGTGAACATGTAACCAGCCTTTTTGTGTTATTCTCAAAGCTATCAGCCTTTCTTGAGTATATAGTTACCCTGCTTCTGTTAACTTTTGTCCTTTTATTCACCTTTTTTTGTGTGAACCTCAGCAGACAAAAGCACGTATATGCCCACAAACCTGCACGCAATGTGTGGAAATGAAAACCTCACTATAGAAGTCCTTGGGTGGAGATCTGCTTGAGACGTGGAGAGAGTATTCTGTATTATTTCCCCTTGGGTGCTTGGTTCATGGTTCACCTTCACTGCCCTTTCATTAATCTCTCTTCTCCCCAGTTTTGTAATGTTTGCAGATGATCGCTAATAGTCTCTGTATGTGGATGACACTCTAATTAATCAAGCACTCTATGCTGGCCAGTCCAGTAGCAACCAACAGCTTCTGACATGCAGCTAGCTGGCAATAACCAGTTTGTACAACCCTGAAGGGCTGCAAGTTCACACATATGTGTTTGTGCTTGTGTGGCAGTTGTTTCTGGCTGGAAACGCTACACTACAACAAGAGAGTGAATTTGTGTGTTGGCGAGGGATTTCCTATGTGCACACATTCGGTATGAGTTAATGTGTTTATGGCCCCCTCTTGATTTGGTCAGACTCTCCTATAAAGCTATTCATTACATGGTAGTATGGTGAAGTAATTATGCAGTCTGGGCTTCCTGTCACGTCCAGAGGTTATTGGACTCTTGCCGCACATCAAATATGTTGCACTTTTTAGTAAACCTCTCTCTCTATATCCATCTCTCTCCCTCCCTCTGTGTTTTAGTCTCTGGCACACCTCGTCTTTCATCACATTTCTGCAAAGCAGACAGAGAGAGAGAGAGAGAGATGTATCAAACATCAAACCTGATAATTTCTGTTAAAGAGATCTTACACCTTTCTTAGGCATTTTTATATCTTAATTTCAGAATTGTTTCTTTGTTTGGCAACACACTATTAGTATGCTCATGCTGTGGAGTGTTGGAGGCTCCAATTGCAGCCGATTGCTTTTTGGCCGTTGGTAAATTTGTGTTATCTAACACAACTCTTTGATAATTCTTGCTCCACTGAATATTCAGCAAACATCCAGAAGACAAGAAGCTCTTTCTGAATTTTGTTTATCCTTCTGATTGGATTTTGCAGCTTGGTGGCTCTGTGTGTGTTAACGCATGTAAATAATGCACATAAACACATTCGCACACAAACTAAGAAGGCTCCTCGTTAATTTGTGTGCAGAGAAAGGGGGTGGGTGTGGGGGTGTGGGCTGTGAAGGAGTGGAGATGGATTGATAGGAAGCAGGGAGGTACAGGCAAGGTGATTAAAAACTCAGGCTACAGATGTTTCTGGAACACTTCAAAGTGTTGCGCCTGCCAGTGCTGGGCATGATGCATTATTGAAACGGAGCCCACCTGGTGCTGACATCACATACCCTGTCCACCTGGTGCAGCGCGGTCACGTGGGTGACACTCTGGGTCACACCTCCTCACACAAACCTAGCTCCCAGTGCGTTGAAGGGCATCAGGGGATACAGCACACATTCTCAACATAGACCTCAAAGGCACTAAACTGGGGCATGTGCAGACTGTAAACTTGGCCTCATGAATTGAAAGTGAGGAGGAATAATTTGCCAGTTGCAAAACTTTTTTTCTCCTATATGTGGAATTGATAACATGAAAAATATTATTTCCTTATTTGGCTTGTACCTGCTTCTAAAGTTTTTTTTTTAAGTAATCTGAGAAAAGATTAAAGAGGACTGTTCTGCTCATTTCCCATTCCATGTTTTGACTATCACTCTACTAAAGTAGCTTTGCATGATTTACAGTTTAAAATAATGCTTGTTTGTCTTGCACTGGGTTTCGGTGCGGTTGCAACCTTCCCCCTCCATTTAAGTCAAGTTTTCTCTGACCGGCTGGTCCTTCCAGAGAGTCTGAACAGCAGCGGAGGGGTTCCTGAGCTGTGTGCCTGAGCTGTGTACCTAACGTGACCATGTTAAGGATGTAACCTACAGCTGACATAATGCAAAACTAAGAAAAAACTAACTGAAACTGAGTGGTTGCAGCAGTCCGAGGCCTGAGCCTTTTACTCAGAGAGTTACTTGCAAATCTGCTGACCTCACTGTTTGAAATTTTGCCTATGTTTAATACAAGCATCCATCTTGTAAGAGGATATAAAAATACAGCATGAAAGGTCTGTTTTATGGTCAAATTCATGCAAACATGCACAAAGATGCAGCAGCGTAACAGTTTAATTTCTTATGGAGTCAATAATTGAAATGCAGTGACCATGATTCAGTAGAGTCTGCATTATTGAGCATATTCAGAGGAAAGCCTGTGAATCTTTCTGGAATATCCTCATCTTTGAAGTAACCTCCAGTGTGGTGTTGATGCAATTCTTGCTGCTTAATATTTCAGCAGCCTCCTCTACCTTGTTTTGTTCAAAAAAAAAAAAAGGAAAAGGAAAAAAAAGTAACTAGAGGTCACGGTTGTGTTTGTGCGTGTGCATGTGCATGAATATATGTGCGTGTGTTTCTCCTGCATGTGTCCCCTGACACCTGTACTCTCTCAGGGTGTGAGGAACAGACAGAGGCCAGAGCCACAGTCACAGGTCTCAGACCAGTGGGGTGTGAAATGAATCACAGGGCCAACACACTCTCCCACTGCTGCACACACTCGACTCGCTGTGTGGGTGTGTGTTGCGTGGCGTGTATGCGTGCTTGCGAGAGACAGAGGAGCATAAAAGGAGAGAAAGGACACTGAAAGAAAGGGAAGAAGGGGAGGTAGAGACAAGAAACTCCTACATTGTGGTTTTAGCTGCATTAATAGGTCCTCAGTTAATAAAGTCAGTATAAATATTTATCAGCGCTGTAACGCTTTCTCATGAGAGATGCCGTTTGGACTAATTGCGGTGTAGCTTTGGCATTTCATTTTCGTTCAGTCTTTATTGTCGACAAGTCTGGGAAAGGCAAATGTGTAACAGTCTCAGGACTTCAGACCCTGCAAGAACCAGAGTCACAACTGCTTTAGTTATTTTGATTAATTTCAGTGTCATTAGGGAATTTGAACCTCATAAGTCAGCCCTAAAATCTTGTTTTATGGATTTTTTCCCCCCACATTATGCTCACATGGTGCAAATTCATAAATAAATTTGTGTTTGAATGACCCCAAATGAATTTATGTCTAGCTTTAATATAACACCGGTGTACTGCTTGCACGGGTTTGCCTGTGAGAAACCATAAAACACAACAGGGTACAATTCTTTCGCTAATTTTTATTTCACTTGGATATTTCAGCTTCCTTTTGTAGATAGCAAAAATGATCTCATTCATCTGCCTAAGGTGAAAAGCTTCTCGGTGCTTACCATAAATCTGAATTTAAGATGTGCGGGTGCAAGTGACCTTTTGTGACCTGTAAGGAGAAAACTTGAAATCAGTTTTTTAAGCTTTTCTTTTCAGCATATTTGCATACTTGAGTGGAGTATTTGAATGAAAGTGAGACATATTTGAATAATCATGGATAAAGGGTTTTTATTGCACGACAGACAGTAAACATACAAATATTTGAAGAATTTCAAATGAACTTGATCAGAGAAGCTCCTTAACAGTAGATGTAAATCTTGGGCTTAAGTTGAAGATTTACATTATATTTCTTATTTTTTTAAAAAGGCTTCAGTTGATGGGAACATTCACGGGGGCATTTAAATTTTGCGGCTTATGCTTTACATGTTATTAGGCACTTACCTTGCTTTTAATGAACTGTTCATTCGGGATTAAACTCTTTAAGATCACAACCTGCAGCTCTTCTGGAAAAAGCAAAAATCCTCCAGCAACAAGAAACGGGGCGGCAGAGGAGGGGATCCGGTGCTCTGGTTGGTTGTATCGGCTGTCAATCATCCACGAGTACTCGGCAGCACCTCCCACAGACGCACAGCGGCAGCGCAGCTTTCACCCACAATGATATTCAAGGCACTTGCGGCTCGTCTGCAGCGATAGGAGAAAAGAGGACAGAAAAGAGAGCCTCACCTCCTCTAACAGCGAGTGAGGTAGGGAAAAGAGTCAGAGAGCGAGAGGAAGACGAGAGGCTGTGGAGTTAAAAGAAAGACAACGGCGGCTTGGACCTCCTGCCAGGACTCTTTAATTGTCTGCGCTTTATTATAAAGTGTCTAATTTTCACACAGATTCGACATGTCATCATCCGGTAAAGACAACAGCGGTGCCCAACACGCCAATTACGTGGGACCTTACCGTTTGGAGAAGACGCTCGGAAAAGGACAGACAGGTTAGTTGGGACAGCTTGCTCGCGGCATCCTCTCTAATTGCACAATTTATTTTCGGAGCGCTCCGCAGCGAGTTGAAATTTGGCCGGCTGGGTGTCTGCAGGTGATAAATAACTAACCGCTTAGTTACAAACACCTGCCCAGCCTTGTGGGGAATTTGGAGGGTTGTTTCGCCAGCGGTCTGACATAATCATTGTTCACACAGGATGTTGCTTTACATTGTTTTATTGGCTGTGCGTTGGCGTTGGACTGTGTGTGTGTGAATTAAGGAGCAGCAGCGTGGAAGCCGTTCAGCAGCAGAAATGATGACAGTGTGATGGGCAATGAAAATGAACTTTTTGTGTTTTGGCTCCCCTGTTTGTATGTGTGTGCGTGTGTGTGTGTGCTCTGTGATTGGAGCACAACGCCCGTTAATCCCGATTTGCCTGATACATTGATCTATTCTTAGTCCGCAGGCACGCAAGGGGGAGGCAGGCGTTTCTCCTATAGGCTCTGGCTGCAATACGTGGGTTTCCTCCGTTACGGAGTAACATGTCCCACCTTGACAGATGAGCTGTTCACAGAGCTGGGAAATAAGAGCCACGCTGATGTATATTCATACACCCCCAGCCAGGAGATGCGACTGGGCTTCCTATAAGAGTCACATGCTTTATCTGAGCCTAGACAGCAATGACACTGCAGTTTCTAAAGTTGCATGGCACATGCTCTCTCCAATCAGCAGGTCTCGATTCCATAATATTTCACGCTAGGTGATGAGTAGCCCACAAGGCAGTAGCACATCGCTGTCCAGTACGTCCCACTGTTGAACGGTGAGAATCCTCTGCGATCAAGTACATGCAGCCAGTGGAGCCATGTGAAAGGAGAGGCAGGCACAGCCCTGTGTAGGCAGAAATAGCAGGAGTGATGCAGCATGCTCTGTAAGCTCAACAGCACTTAGAATGAGAGAGGCAGTGGGACTTTTTCTTCTGCTCTTTCACTATCTCTCTGTAGATTTTTCTTCCCATCTGTTGTCTAAAATGGCTACAATAGGCGTTAGTTCCCCTAGCCCGTCCAGCTGGTCATGCTGAGCAACCCCGTGTGTATGTGCAAACGTTTGTGCACGCTCTCAGACAGTATGCTTTCTTAAAATGACCACTTAGTCACCTGACCAGCGCTCACTGTTCATTAGTGGGTCTGAGAGGGGGAGGGAGCACGTCTTCATAATCCCTCTTTAACTGTAGAAGATATTTGAACGAGTCATGTTTCGCACCATGACGCCCACAGGTGGATTCAATAAAAGTTTGTTAACCAGCACAGTGCGATGCATAATGATTTCCATACGATCTATTAGTCGTAGTTAAAGTTTATGCAGCAGTTGATTTTTAAAACAACCTAATAATACACGCAGTATTCACATCCTCCTGACACCTATCTATTTTATCATTTGTGTTTACAGGAACCCCTCACTCACTTTTAAATAGCTCTCAGGAGTCCCTAATGTGTGTTTATGATGGTACAGAGCTGGTTCCATGGCTGGATATTTAATCATATGTTGTCTGTGTAATCTATGGCACAGTGTGTATTCATGTGAATGCTGGGGCAGATTTCGATGAACGTTTCGTACTCTCCTCTGAAGTCTAGTATGGAGTATGCAAGTTATAGGTCAGCTTGCAAAATATAACTTTTATCAAACTTACTTGGGCTGAATTTATCAAAAGGTTTTTACTTTTTAAAACATTTTTCAGTCAGACAGGTTTTTCTAATTGAATAACAGTCATTTAGTTTGAATGCTTTTGCTCTGGTTTTTCAATTACATCTCGGGGCTCATATGCACTGAAATAACCAGGCCCAGCGTTATGTGTTTGTCCATGTTCTCTGTTAGAAAATTCATTTGGTTATTGGCATCTGTGGTGCTAGTCCACGCCAAACCTATTCAGATTAATGACACTGCCTAATATCCCATTCTCCCATTTACCATTTGTTAATCTGTCAGATCTTTTTCCCAGGCCCCACGGAAAGGGTTGGCCTGGCAACTGAGTGCACCCAATGGGCTGGTCTTAACCGCAAGTGGCAGCTGAGACTGTCCAATGAGCAAAGTCCTCTGTGAGCTTTCCCAGGCTATGGTTGGCTGGTATTATTGGAGGGGAGAAAGCGGAAGCCCTCTGGTAGATCTGGCGATCCTCCTCAGAGGAGTTGTGCTTTTCCATGTTCATTAAGTGATTAGGCCCTGTCCTGACATATACACATAAACACACACACATGGCCACCTCAGTAATTCTGGTTGGCTTTCTGATCTAATCCTCTACACAGCCAAAGCCCCGTCAGCTCTTACTCACACATTCACGTGGCCCAAAGGTAGCATTCTAACTCCTGTCCCACTCTGGCTTTCAAACTCCACCTTCATGTTACTGTGCAGCTTGCATACAACAAGTCACATATACTCTTTTGCAGTGATGCAGTACAAATAGTGGGATGCATATTCTATATATTCCCTTATCACAGAAGAGCAAGCGTGTTTACTCAGTACTTGTAGACCATATGACGATTTCTTTGTCAGGTGTAAGATGGGGCCTGAAGCAGTCTTGAAATATTGAGTGTTCTTATCGGGGCTGAAGCATCAAAAGTATGGAATCCAGGTTTTGGCCCAACCTGCCCAGTGCACTGTCTACGGTTCTATGTAGTCAATGAGCCTAAAATCCAAGATTTAGTTCATTCTGGAAGGTGGTGGGAAGACTAAGGAAAAACTCATAATTTGTTTTGATTTCACCATGATTTGATCATGACAGACAGACAAACCCTGTTATCCTGATGCAACTCTAGTTCACGCTTTACTTGAAGAATATTTAAACACCACAGTGCTCACCGGATTAACATCCTTAACACCTCCACATGGCTAATTAGCATGAACAACATGGACACATGGCTAATGATTGTATCATTATGCATGATATAAACTTGACTGAAGCTACTTCTCAGTTGGACTTTCTCAGCCTTTATTTACATGTGTGTTGTTTACCCCAACACAAAACGTGCTCTTAATGGCTAAAAGTTTTGGCTAACACGGTGGTGTCTTTGCAGTTAGCTACGGGGCCGAACTGGTCTCATTTTAGCGTCTATGGAGGATCTGAGAAGCTGTGTTTCACAACTTTCACTAGATTTCTTCCCTAAAACATCCTATGAACAGCTCTGGTAGCCATGGGATGACAGGATGAGGGCAAGAAACGTACAATAGATGCAGAAGGTGGAACATTTGCATTGTGGATTCTGGATTTGTATTTGGTATATGTGTGCATTTACTCTCTCAGAATTCCCATTCAGCTTTACTTTCTGTCAAACACTAAGTTGAACTCCATGCACTGTTAGGCTGTATTATATCCTATATTAGCTTCACGAGTCTCTAATCTGTGTCACGATGGCCTAGAGACTGAGGTAGCACTTATTAAAACCCTTATTAAAATGTAGAACTTGAATGTCTCCATCACGCTGGGATTTGCAGTCACAGCCTTCTTGCATTTCAAAATCGTGTAGCTTTGTTTGACAAAGCTGAATATGTTTAATTTGTGTTTTTGCCAGTGCACTGACTTAACACAGGCTGAATCACCGCTCTGTTCCTTAATGCTTTGGAAAACACTGCCTTGCTTTGCCTTTACTTTGTTCCTGAAGGCTGTTGATTAGTGAAATAGAGGCCTATTGTCTGGAAAACACTGCATGCTAATCCAGCGTAAATCCCAGTTTTGTTTTTTGTTTTTTGTTTTTTCATGCTAGACTTGGATATTGACAGGCTAAGCGATGGAGGTTGATGTGTAGGCTCCTTGATTCCTTTGGTTGACGTTTAGAGAGTGAAATCATTTGTGCTTCAGTGACTTTCATATTGACTGCTCGGCTGATAAAAAGCTCTGCGTGATGTTGTGTCTTGCGTTCTCTTTCTCTCTTTAGGTCTCTCTGCTTTTATCTATATGCTGGAGAGTTCTTGTTTTGGGTTTCCTGTGCCTACCAGGCATTGGAGCCAGCATCTAGCTGGTCTCGCTGTTTTAGAGTCAGCAAAGGGCCGGCTGGTTTCTAACTCCAACTGCCGATTTCACTATTTGCAGTATTGGGTTGTGTTTGTGCATCTTTGTGTATGAACGATGGAGGAAAATCCATCCATGTATACATTACCCAGATTGTTCTTGGAGCCTGGTGCAATGGTGATGCTCAACCGTTAATTCTGCATTGATTGATAGCTAGTAAGCCGGTGATTTAGTTCATTGGCCACTCCCAAAGATTTCCTGTCAGGTGAAATAGATCCATACTGTTTCACAACACATGATATTCCTGATGATGACAAGTGACTAGGACATGTTCGTTCAATGCTGTCAATGAAAAGCCACTTGGCAAATCCACAAAAGTGAAATGCATTTGGGTGCTTACACGTGTGCGTCTTGTGAATCGAACAGGTGATCGTACTACAGGTGATCTATAGCCTCCTTGCCATTTAAAAAAAAAAAAAAAAAAAGAAAAAAGAAACACAAAAAGCTCAAACACAACTCTCTTACTCCCCCGTGTTCACAAGATTACCCAGAAAAAGTTGCCAAGTTTGACCTAAAATTGGTGAGTGAGGGGAAATAAATGAAAGGCTGTGATGATAGGCCCATGTTTCAAGGGGCCTGTTCAAAGATTCAGGTCAGAGAAGCCCTGACCCAAAAGCTGTACTCTGTTGCTCCCAGCTGGATAGCACCTCATGTTAGGATGCTGGATCAGAGCTGTAGAGCAGGAAGGCAAGCTTCCTCGGTCTCAGCCGTTTGGCTGTCTAGCTAAAGCTGAAGCCCTGCTCTCTCTGTATTGAAATGTATCTGAAATAATGGGAGATGTGTGCGTGTCTCGCCTAGGTTGTTATATTTTGGATAAAATTATATATTTTTTGTGTATTTAGGCTGTTGCTTCAATGTTCTGGTCATTTTTATGGGTTCTTTAAGTAACTCAAACCAAGAATGTAGTCTTTTCACAGTCTGCATCGTTGGCTGACGTTATATAATGATGATGG